ACTTTAGGGAGGCAGCTGTGGATGCCTTCAGTTGAAGCATCTCCTTTATTGAACAAAAAACTGTGGTAAGGTCTTTCCACACTTTATCTTTAACCTTCAAGGCATCCCTGCACAGCGGACATTCTTAAGAATGTTACAAGAAAAGTAACACTGAGATAGAATAAGGGACTCGCCCAGAGTCACACAGCTGGTCAGTGGCAGGACCACAATCCAGAACCCTACCCTCTCTGATTCCAGAGCTTACACTCATAACTGCTCCATTTCACCCTGCTTGTCAAACAGCTGGGCACATCCCACCACAGGAGGCAGCCCCAGCCTTCAGACCATGTTAAAGGTCAGCATGTAGAACACTTTTGGAAGGTGATACAAGTAAAACTGTGCTCTCCAAGGATTTCATTATAAGGAAATAACAGAAGTCAAATCATTCTTAAGCATGTTCTCAGCAGCATTGTCTAATATAGCCAAAAAGTAAAAAAAGAGTAGGATTTAGAAAATCATAAAAAATATTAGACAGCCTTTAGAAATAGTAACTATAAGGTCTAAAGTGCAATACAGAAAATCTTTTTAATATAAGAGTAACTGAAAAAAGTCAGATGCAGATTGGTACCTAAGCCATGAAGGCAACTATGGAGAAATATAACTGAATGGGGACAAAGACAAGGAAGAAGGTACAGAAATGAAAACAGGTCTCATGTTAACGCAGGGGTGGCAAATTTTTCCTCTTTTGAGGTTTTCATTAATGTTATTTCAACATCATTCCAAGAGTAAGAATAACAAATCCGATTCTGGCTGCGTTGTCAGAGAGCTCTGGTGACGGCCCCTCGGCCCCCCACATAGCCGCTGCACCCTGTCCCATTCCTCCCTCACACCCACAGCGTCCAACCTACTGGGGTATCTCTCTTACCAGCAACTCTGACCACAGCACGCTCTGCAGGGTCCAGCACCGAATCCTGGCTTTTCCGCTTTTTCTGCTCATGCAGTGGCAGGTTCCAGGGCAAGGTGTCCCCTGGGGGACAAGGAGACAGGCTCCCTGACCGCTCGCTCCTGTAAGATCGCTCACTCCGACACGACCGCTCACTCCGACATGACCGCTCACTGAGCGTCTCTTCATCTGAGGAAGACATGGCCCAGGTGGGAGCTGCTGCAGGAGGGCCTGGGAGCCCAGGGAGAAGTGATCTGAAGGAGAAAGGAGTGAATGTGAGCAGACCAAAGAGGTCCCATAAGGAGTGCTGGGACTTGGCTCTTGCTAAGCAGAGGTTCTAGTCCTGTCTATCTGAACCTCAGTTTCTTCACCTGGAAAGTGGGATGAAGATGATACATGCCAAAACTAATTGACGAGGTTTGGGGGATATTGTTTGTGATGATGTCTGTAAATCTTAAAACATCATGTAGGCCGGGCGCGGTGGCTCACGCCTGTAATCCAAGCACTTTGGAGGCCAAGGCAGGCAGATCACCTGAGGTTGGGAGTTCAAGACCAGCCTGACCAACATGGTGAAACCCCGTCTTTAAAAAAAAAAAAATCATGTAAAAGTTAGCTCCTATTCCTAGGAACTATTATTATTGTTATCTGGCACATTTGGAAGATTACGCTCACAGATCCCATGACAGAACGCTGTGGGTTTAAATTCTACTCCATTTACTAGCTGTGTGACCCTGGAGAAGCTACTTGGTCTCTCCAAGTTTCAGCACCCTCATCTACAAAATGGGGATGATAATAATAGAACCTAGCCCTATGGGGTTGGATTCTGCATGTAAAGTGCTTAATCCTGCATGTAAAGTGCTTAATAGTGCCTAGTGCCCAGTGAGCACTCAATACAGAGTATCTATTATTACATTCCTGTTCTACTTACCTCCCAGGAATTCTATAAGGATAAACTGGGGCAACAGATGGAAAGTATTTTCAAAAAGCTAAAGCATGATCTCAGTAGCAGGCATGAAGCAAACCATGGGCTAGAATAGGCAGAAATTCCCTGGTTTCTCCCACTCTATCTCCAGCAGATATATTAGAAAATGTACTAGTCTTGAAGTAAGACAGACCTGGGTATAAATTCTGGTTTGGCCACTTACAAATTGCTGTGCTCTTGGGCAAGTCACTTCACCTTTCTGAGACTCAGTTCCTTCATCTGCAAAATGGGGGTAATATTCCACCTCAGAGGATGTTTTAAGAACACTGTTAAATGCAAATGTAGTATTGGTTGATGCCATCCATGGCACCCAGCAGGCATTAGAGTAAATGTTCATTTGCTACTCCAGGGCTGTTGTGGGAATAAGTGGCACAGCATGAGGATAGGGTGGAGGGATGGGACAAAAAGTCCATTTTTTCTGGTCAGTTTAGCTAGTGGAGACAGTCGAGCGAAAATACAATTGCTCTAGGGCCAGCTGGGCTCCACCAGCCAGACCGGGCAGCCTTCCCTCAGCCAGGCCAAGCTCACTTCCCAGAACCATCTGCTACACATGGCCCACCACCCCAAGGGCTCCATCAGAGCACGGATGGTATGTGCCTTCAGCTACCAGCCTTCCTACAGGCCCCAAAGCCAACCTGGGTAGCCAGCTCTGACTTTGGCTCTAGGGTCCAGGGAGGGCAGGAGCTGTTAAATTTCCCTTATGGGGAATACCTGCACACAGGGCTGTGTAGAGACAGGGAGGTAGCCTACATGGCTGGACACATTGGGTCTGTGGCCACAGCTCCTCCAGGATTCTCGAATCAGCCTAGAGGCAGCAAGGGGCAGAGACAGTCTCCTGGGTCATTGGCAGATCCCCACTATGGGCACAGAATTCAAAGAGATAACAAAAGAAACATAAAAACGGTGCAGGAGGCCTATAGGCAGCCTTAGGCAGCAGAGTCTTCCTGCCAGGGCACCCCTTGTGCCCGCAGCATGTGGGCCCTCTTCCCAGGGAACATCTAGAAGGGATCTAGCCACAGGAAACAGAAAGGAAAGGACTCAGGTCCTGGCACAGCTTTGCCCTTTATCCTAGCACTTATCCCTCCTCCCATGACCTTCTGGTGCCAGGGCAGATACTGAAGTGACAGCCTCAACCTCTGGGAAACTCAGGCCAAGCTTCCACCCCTACCCTCAGCTCGGGGGCAGGAAAAATGCCCCTCCTCTCAGACCACCTACTTCATCCCAGAACCGCCCATTCCTCTCCAAAACGCCCATTTCACTACAAAGGCCGGCTCTCCCAAGGCCTCCTACAGGAGAAAGCGTCCCTTCTGGGCTCTACCCCGTCAATCTCCAGCCCCTCACAAACACCTGTTTGACCTCGGGGCTCCCACCCCACCCTCGGTCACCCGGGTCACTCCATCAATCCCCGAGATTCACAGGAGCGCCTGCCCATGCCCCAGCCCACCCAGAATGCCGTAGGCCGGTCGGCGACAGGCACCTCACAGGGTGCTCTCACCCGCTGCGACCCTCTCCACCTGGCTCCCACCCGCTTCCCCACGGTGGAGGGGGGGCGCGCCCGCGAGCCTGGAGCGGCGCGGGTGGGTCCGCGTGCCCGCCAAGCGTGGCTGACAAAGAGCGGGGACGCGCGACTGAAGACCCACAGGGCGCTGGGGCCAGCGGCCGAGCCCTGGGGCCGGGAAGCGACCTTCCTCGCCCGGCTCTGCCCACCCCCGCAGGTCCGGCGCCCGGCCCCGACAGGGCTCCGTGCCCCATTTTCCCGGGGAACACGCCTCCCTTCCGCCCTGGCAGCGTCCGCACAGGGGAAGCCCCAGCTCCGCGTCCTCGCCGCTCCCCGGCGCCTGCCGCGGGGGCTGCAGGTGCGAGGCCCGCACGGCCGCTGTCGCCGCGCCTGTCAAGCCGCTTGTCCGCGGCCGCCGGCTGCCGGGGGCTGGGGCGCGGCTGCCTCGCGCGATCAATCACCGCGCCCCAGCCGCCGCTGCGCACCCTGCTCAGCAGGCAGGGCGCCTGCATCCAACCCCGCGCCCCGCGCCTTACCCTGGGAGCCGAAGGAGGAGGAAGACTGGCCCGCGGAGGCAGCGAAGGCGGCGGCGGCCGGGCGCGCCCCGGGCTGGAGCGCAGTCGAGGGGAGCGCGGCGGAGCCGAGGGGAGCGGTTCCCACAATGGCCGAGCTCGCGGCGCCGAGCCCCCCGCCCCCCGCGCCCTAGCGGCAGCGGCTGAAGCGGAGCCGGCGCAGCCGCCCAACCCGCTCCCCCACCCCCAGCGCCGACACCGCCCCCCGCCCCCCGATGCGCGCTCCCCCCGCCCTGCACCCCACCCCGGCGCTTCCGCGCACCCCGCGCGCCCCTGCCCGTCCGCCGCCCGGCGCCCCCTCCTCACTGACCCCGCGTCCTCCTGCCGCCTGGGCCCTCTCGATCCCTCCCCTCTGCAATTCCTTCCTGGCGGCCTCTGGTGTCCCCCCTCAAGGCCAACCACACCCCCAAATTCCCCGCCCTCTGCTCCACGACCTCTCCGCCTCGGCCCCGCGGCTGCTCGCTGACCTCGGGCCAGCTCTGCCGGCCCGCCCTCTTGGAGCTCCTCACCGCCCGGTCCTAGTCGCTCTCTCAGGCTGCGGAACTGTCTGTCTGCCCAGACCCGGATTCTTAAACAACCCTTTTCCATGGCCACCCCTCTTTCGCCCCTTTCCCTTAAACCCACATTCCGTCCCCGCCCTTGGGGCTCCTGCTCCAGCTCCCGGAGAGTCCTGCAGATCCTGCTGGTCCTTATAGGTCCACCTACCCGCTGGGCTTCTGGAACTGAATGAAGGAGGGACCCAAAGAAGGCCCCATCTCCTCGGCAGGGTAAAGAGCAGAAGAGAACCAGGCCCCAACGAGAGAACTCAGTCTCTTCAGACAGCGGTAGCCCCAAGTGGAGCCTTGAAAGAAGATTTATCCACCGAGGAAGCATTTATTGAGCTCCTTCTGCACTCCCGACCTAATGATGCACAGAACAGGAAGCAGGAGGGCCTTCTATCCTCTCCTAGGACAGATGAGTGCGTCCAGAGAGAGAGAGAATGTGTCTAAAGTCATTCCACTTAGTAACCTGCATAGCAACAGCTACCATTTGGGCATGTCTCCTGGTGACTGCAAAGGCTTTACCTGGATCATGCCAAATCCAGTCCTCACAGCTCTGTTCATTCATTCATTCATTCAACAAATATGTGCTGTACATCTACCCTGTGTCAGGCCCCATGCAGGGTAATGAAGATACAGCGTGAGCAAGCTGCGTTTCATCCCCTGCCTGTTGACCATGGGCTCACAGTCCAGCAGGAAAGATGCATGCATCCCATGAGGAAGTATTATGATCTCTAATGTAGAGATGTAGAACTGAGATGATTTACTCAAAATCAGCTAGGGAGACAGTGGATGGTCCCAGGACTGGAGCCCTGTCTTCAGATTTTACATTCTGTTCTTTTTCACCATAATGGTTGGGGAGAAAAAAAGGGTTGGAGCAATTTACAAAGACCCTAAGAAATTAGCTAAGAAATTTGCCTAAATCTAATGATTATAAGCAGCCAAGAAAGGTGTCAAAGTAACAGAATGAAAGTAACCCAAGGGCAGGCACCAGATGGGTGTGGATGGTTATGCTGGGAAACTGCTAGGGTAGTCCCAGCCAGAGGTAATGAAGCTGTGAACCGCAGCAGGGACAATGGAGATGGGAAGGGATGTTTTCCACCCACTGAAACTTGCTAAGTTTCTGTGTTTGCGTGTGCTCTTTCATATTAAGGGAAAGCAACCATCATTTATTAAACTCTTACTAAGTGCTAGGCAATGCCCTGGGCATTTTGTGTATATCATCTCATTAAGTCTTCCCCCAAACCCTGTGCAGTAGTTACCTTAATTTTCTTCATTTTACAAATAAGGAAACAGAGACTTCAAGAGGTTAAATGATTTGCTGAAGCCCACAAAGCAAACTAGTGTTGGAGCTGGGGTTCTCATCCAGGTGTCTCCAAATCTCATGCTATAACCACTGTTTTCTACTGTCTGAAGCCAAGGCAAAGAATCTAGGTCCTATGACTCAGACAAGGTTTCTTTTCCTCAGACCACAGGTTCCTCTGGGACTTCCGAAGAAAGATCAGAAGATCACAGTTGTAACCTGCTTGAGTGCAAGTCCCTCTGTGGGATATCTTCTCCACAGAAACCTGCAAAGGCCTCAGCACCAGAGAATTCTGCACCCTGATTCTAAAGTTCCTGTGGGACAATGGAATACTATTCAGCCTTTAAAAAGAAGAAAATCCTGGTTGGGTGTGGTGGCTCACGCCTATAATCCCAACACTTTGGGAGGTCAAGGTGGGAGAATTGCTTGAGGTCAGGAGTTTGAGACTTGCCTGGGCAACATAGGGAGACCCCAACTCTACAAAAATAAAAAAGCAAAAATAAATTAGCTGGGGCCAGGCACAGTGGCTCATGCCTATAATCCCGACACTTTGGGAGGCCGAGGCAGGTGGACCGTGAGGTCAGGAGTTCGAGACCAGCCTGGCCAATATGGTGAAATCCCATCTCTTTTAAAAATACAAAAATTAGCAGGGCGTAGTGGCACACGCCTGTAGTCCCAGCTACTCCGAAGGCTGAGGTAGAAGAATGGCTTGAACCCGGGAGGTGGAGGTTGCAGCGAGCCAAGATAGTGCTACTGCACTCCAACCTGGGCGACAGAGCGAAACTCCATCTCAAAAAAATAAAAAACATTATCTGGGCATAGTGGCTCCCACCTGTAGTCCTAACTACTCTGGAGACTAAGGCAAGAGGATCACTTGAGCCCAAGAGTTTTTGAAGCTACAGTGAGTTGTGATCCAGCCACTGTACTCCAGCCTGGGCAAGAGCAAGACTCTGTCAAAAAAAAAAAAAAAAAGAGAGAGAGAAAGAAAAGAAAGAAAGAGAGGAAGAAAGAAAGTAAGAGTAAGAGAAAGAGAAAGAAAACCCGTCATTTGTGACAACATGGATTAACCTGGATGGAGGACACTACATTAAGTGAAATAAACCAGGCACAGAAAGATAAATACTGCGTAATCTCATATGTGGAACCTAAAAACATTGAACTCATAGAGGCAGAGAGTAGACCAGGCATGGTGTCTCAAGCCAGTAATCCCAACATTGTGGGAGCCCGAGACAGGCAGATCACTTGAGGTCAGGAGTTCGAGACCAGCCTGGCCAACATGGTGAAACCCTGCCTCCACTAAAAATATACAAAAATGGCCAGGTGCAGTGACTAATGCCTGTAATCCCACCACTCTGAGAGGCTGAGATGTGCGGGTCACCTGAGGTCAGGAGTTCAAGGCCAGCCTGGCCAATATGGTGAAACCCTATCTCTACTAAAAATACAAAAATTAGCTGGGAGTGGTGGCAGGCACCTCTAATCCCAGTTGCTTAGGAGACTGAGGCAGGAGAATCACTTGAACCCAGGAGGCGGAGATTGCAGTGAGCCAAGATCGTGTAGCTGCACTCCAGCTTGTGCGACAGAGCCAGACTCCATCTCAAATAAACAAACAAATAAATAAATTTTTAAAAATAAAAATAAAAAAGATCCTGTGGGGTAGGCTAAATGGCATTGAAGCATGAAGCTGAAGAATTGTTTTCAAGTTAGAAATGAGTGTCACGTCACAGTGGCTGATGCCTGTAATTCCACTGCTTTGAAGGCTGAGGTGGGAGGATCACTTGAGGCCTCCAGGGAGCTTGAGACCAGCCTGAGCAACACAGTGAGACTATGTCTACAAATAAAAATAATAAAAGGAAGATGAAGAAAAAAGAAGAAGAAAGAAGAAGAGGAGAAGTGAGTGCCACAGTTCTTCCCTGGTGAGAGGGGAAAATAAACACCAAGGGAAGCCAAGCTGCAGGCACAGGAAGAGCGTGGGGGGCCTGCATGTGAAACTGAACCTGCACAGGGCCAGAGTGTGTGGGCAGGGTCTCAGCAGGCAGGGCCCGCTGGGAGGGCTGGAGGGCACACAGAGGGCTCACCAAGGCTGTGCAGTCTCACCTGGGAAGCCGGCAGGCCCAGCTGCCCTGCTTGAGAGAGCACCTAAGAGGCTGTCCTCTTCAACCTCAATGCCCTTCCCAAATCTGACCACAAGTCCTGTCCTAAATTATTCATGCTGTGAGCTGTGAGTGGAGCTTCTGGAAGCTTCTGAATGTAAAACTTAGGACATTTAGCTGTCTTTCCCAGGGCTGTTTCTCCAGCTCCAACAGTGCTACCCTGGGACTGAACTGCTGGGGAGATATGCCAAGCTTTTCACCGCTGGCAGCTCACCAGTAACCTTGAGCTACTGGGCTTTGGTTCATTTCAGCAATCTTTTATTGAGGAATGCTATGTCCTGGTCAGAGTTCTGGGTTCTGTCGGGAACACAGAAGTGAATCCAATCAGGTCCCTGTCCTTGAGGATTCACAGGATGGTAGAGGTGGCAGGCACTTAAAAATTATTTCCTTCTGCAGCGTCCTCCAGGTCTGCTGAGTGCTCCCCACTACTCTGTCTCATTTCACCAACTGCAAGCCACTGCTCATTCCCTCCAGAAGCAAATGCCTGGTAAGGTCCTCTTTGGGTCCTGAAGGGGCAACTTTTCACAAAAAGAACAACATTTAAGAGATTCTACTCATGAAAAAAGAAAAAAAAGAACAACATTTAGTTTTGTACTGATGGTTCAAAAATGAATCACACAGGCCGGGTATGGTGGTTCACACCTGTAATCCCAGCACTTTGGGAGGCCAAGGCAGGCGGATCATGATGTCAGGAGTTCGAGACCAGCCTGACCAACATGGTGAAACCCCATCTCTACAAAAAATACAAAAATTAGCTGGGCATGGTGGCATGCACCTATAATCCCAGCTACTTGGGAGGCTGAGGCAGAAGAATCGCTTGAACCCCGGAGGCAGAGGTTGCAGTGAGCCAAGATCGTGCCACTGCACTCCGCCTGAGTGACAGAGCAAGACTTCATCTTGAAAAAGAAAATGGATCAGATAGACATAGCCCCTGTCCTCAAGCTGCTCACAGCCTAGGTGGGGAGAAAGACAAGTAAAAGGGCAATTACCCTTCAGATTGATTTGTGCTGAGATTGGGGAAGTACATTCTTTGTACCCTGAGAGGAGCAAAGAAAAAGGACACTGCTGAAAAGCTTGAGGCCAGGTCATTTCACCAGGTCTCTCATCCTTGCCTAAATGGAAACTCTTTCAGTTCCCTGTTTTCCTGCAAAAGATTTATTCTTCTGTGAAAGGAATATAAATCTTGGGGCCCCCAAACAATAAGCTAAAGCGAAAAGTCAAACTAGGAAATGTCTAGAACAAACCTTCTTCCCATTCTATTAAAGACACCCCTCTGCCCACTGACATAGATGTGTATCTGATTGCCTCCTTTGGAAAGGCTGATTAGAAACTCAAAAGAATGCAACTGTTCATCTCTCACCTACCTGTGATCTGGAAGTCCCCTCCCCACTGCCAGTCTTCCTGCCTGTGCTTCAGATTGTCCTGCTTTTCCAGACCAAACCAATGTACTTCTTACATATATTGATTGATGTCTCATGTCTCCCTAAAATGTGTAAAACTAAGGTGTGCCCCGGCCACCTGGGGCACATGTCGTTTCGGACTTCCTGAGGCTGTGCTGTGAATGCATCCTCAATCTTGGTAAAATTAACTTTCTAAAATAACGGAAGGCCAGCATGGTGGCTCACGCTTGCAATCCCAGCACCCTGGGAGGCCAAGGTGGGCGGATCACCTGAGGTCAGGAGTTCGAGACCAGCCTGGCTAACATGGCAAAAGCCCTACTAAAAATGCAAAAATAGCCTGGCATGGTGGCGCATGCCTGTAGTCCCAGCTACTCGGGAGGCTGAGGTGAGAGAATTGCTTGAACCCAGGAGGTGGAGGTTGCAGTGAGCCGAGATCACACCACTGCACTCCAGCTCGGGAAACAGAACAAGGCTCCATCTCAAAAAATAAAATAAAATATCTGAGACCTGTCTCAAAATTTCAGGGCTCATACTTCAATATTGGCTTTTCCCTCTGCGACTGCCCTCCATCTCAACCTGTTCCATATGACCCTCTGAACTCAAGACAGGTCCAGCCAGACAGGTGTCGGGTTGAAGGTGAAATAT